TGAGTGTCCTTGCAAAGAAAGGTGGCTATATTGGTCACTGATTTGTTTTTGTTTTGTTTTTGAATGTCAGAAATGTATATTTGTGAATGTTGAGATGTTATATTGGTTTCGCTGGTAATAATAAATAATTGAAATGGGTATATATTTGTTTTTTGTTAAGTTGCCTAATAATTATGCACAGTAATAGTCACATGCACACACAGATATCCCCCTAACATAGCTAAAACCAAAAACAAACTAAAAACTACTTCCAAAAATATTCAGCTTTGATATTAATGAGTTTTTTGGGTTCATTGAGAACATGGTTGTTGTTCAATAATAAAATTAATCCTCAAAAATACAACTTGCCTAATAATTCTGCACTCCCTGTATAGTGTATAAACAGAGCGAGCCCTGCTTCTATCTATGGATTTATATAGTGTATAAACAGAGCAAGCCCTGCTTCTATCTATCTATGGATTTATATAGTGTATAAACAGAGCGAGCCCTGCTTCTATCTATCTATGGATTTATAAAGTGTATAAACAGAGCGAGTCCTGCTTCTATCTATCTATTGATTTATATAGTGTATAAACAGAGCGAGCCCTGCTTCTATCTATCTATGGATTTATATAGTGTATAAACAGAGCGAGCCCTGCTTCTATCTATATGGTTATATAGTGTGTATAAACAGGTAGAGTCCTGCTTCTATCTGTAGTTTATATAGTGTATAAACGGAAGCGAGCCCTTATATACTTCTATCTATGGATTTATATAGTGTATAAACAGAGCGAGCCTGCTTCTATCTATCTATGGATTTATATAGTGTATAAACAGACCAAGCCCTGCTTCTATCTATGGATTTATATAGTGTATAAACAGAGAGAGCCCTGCTTCTATCTATCTATGGATTTATATAGTGTATAAACAGAGCGAGCCCTGCTTCTACCTATCTATGGATTTATATAGTGTATAAACAGAATGAGCCCTGCTTCTATCTATCTATGGATTTATATAGTGTATAAACAGAGCGAGCCCTGCTTCTATCTATCTATGGATTTATATAGTGCATAAACAGAGCGAGCCCTGCTTCTATCTATCTATGGATTTATATAGTGTATAAACAGAGCGAGCCCTGCTTCTATCTATCTATGGATTTATATAGTGTATAAACAGAGCGAGCCCTGCTTCTATCTATCTATGGATTTATATAGTGTATAAACAGGGCGAGCCCTGCTTCTATCTAACTATGGATTTATATTGTGTATAAACAGAGCGAGTCCTGCTTCTATCTAACTATGGATTTATATAGTGTATAAACAGTGCGAGCCCTGCTTCTATCTATCTATGGATTTATATAGTGTATAAACAGAGCGAGCCCTGCTTCAATCTGTCTATGGATTTATATAGTGTATAAACAGAGCGAGTCCTGCTATCTATCTATCTATGGATTTATATAGTGTATAAACAGAGCGAGTCCTGCTTTTATCTATGGATTTATATAGTGTATAAACAGAGCGAGCCCTGCTTCTATCTATCTCTGGATTTATATAGTGTATAAACAGAGCGAGCCCTGCTTCTATCTATCTATGGATTTATATAGTGTATAAACAGAGCGAGCCCTGCTTCAATCTATCTATGGATTTATATAGTGTATAAACAGAGCGAGTCCTGCTATCTATCTATCTATGGATTTATATAGTGTATAAACAGAGCGAGTCCTGCTTTTATCTATGGATTTATATAGTGTAGAAACAGAGCGAGCCCTGCTTCTATCTATCTCTGGATTTATATAGTGTATAAACAGAGTGAGCCGTGCTTCTATCTATGGATTTATATAGTGTATAAACAGAGCGAGTTCTGCTTCTATCTATGGATTTATATAGTGTATAAACAGAGCGAGCCCTGCTTCTATCTATGGATTTATATAGTGTATAAACAGAGCGAGCCCTGCTTCTATCTATCTATGGATTTATATAGTGTATAAACAGAGCGAGCCCTGCTTCTATCTATCTATGGATTTATATAGTGTATAAACAGAGCGAGCCCTGCTTCTATCTATCTATGGATTTATATAGTGTATAAACAGAGCGAGCCCTGCTTCTATCTATGTATGGATTTATATAGTGTATAAACAGTGCGAGCCCTGCTTCTATCTATCTATGGATTTATATAGTGTATAAACAGAGCGAGCCCTGCTTCAATCTATCTATGGATTTATATAGTGTATAAACAGAGCGAGTCCTGCTATCTATCTATCTATGGATTTATATAGTGTATAAACAGACCGAGTCCTGCTTTTATCTATGGATTTATATAGTGTATAAACAGAGCGAGCCCTGCTTCTATCTATCTCTGGATTTATATAGTGTATAAACAGAGTGAGCCGTGCTTCTATCTATGGATTTATATAGTGTATAAACAGAGCGAGTTCTGCTTCTATCTATGGATTTATATAGTGTATAAACAGAGCGAGCCCTGCTTCTTTCTATCTATGGATTTATATAGTGTATAAACAGAGCGAGCCCTGCTTCTATCTATCTATGGATTTATATAGTGTATAAACAGAGCGAGCCCTGCTTCTATCTATCTATGGATTTATATAGTGTATAAACAGAGCGAGTTCTGCTTCTATCTATGGTTTTATATAGTGTATAAATAGAGCGAGTCCTGCTTTTATCTATGGATTTATATAGTATATAAACAGAGCGAGTCCTGCTTCTATCTATGGATTTATATAGTATATAAACAGAGCGAGTCCTGCTTTTATCTATGGATTTATATAGTGCATAAACAGAGCGAGTCCTGCTTTTATCTATCTATGGATTTATATAGTGCATAAACAGAGCGAGCCCTGCTTCTATCTATCTATGGATTTATATAGTGTATAAACAGAGCGGGCCCTGCTTCTATCTATGGATTTATATAGTGTATAAACAGAGCGAGCCCTGCTTCTATCTATCTATGGATTTATATAGTGTATAAACAGGCGCTCACAGCAGCTACAGGGACATTCACAGATAGCACTCACAGCAGCTACAGGGACATTCACAGATAACATTCACTGCATCTACAGGGACATTCACAGATAGTATTCACTGCATCAACTGGGACATTCACAGATAGCACTCACAGCAGCTAGGGCACTCATCAATAGTATTTACTTATAGCAGCTAGAATTAAACTCACTCTAGCATAACATTTACTGCATCTACAGGGCCAGTCACAGACAGCACTCACAGCAACTACAGAGACATTGACAGATAGCACTCACAACATCTAAAGGGACATTCACAGATAGCACTCACATCAACTACAGGGACATTCACGGATAGCACTCACACCATCTACAGGGACATATACAGGCAGCACTCATGGCATCTACAGGGACATTCACAGACAGCACTCACATCAACTACAGGGACATTCACAGGTAGCACTCACAGCAGCTACAGGGACATTCACAGATAGCATTCACTGCATCTACGGGGACATTCACGTACAGTATTCACTGCATCAACTGGGACATTCACAGATAGCACTCACATCAACAACAGGGACATTCACAGATAGCACTCGCAGCATCTACAGGGACACTCACAGACAGCACTCGCAGCATCTACAGGGACATTCACAGACAGCACTTGCAGCATGTACAGGGGCATTCACAGATAGCACTCACATCATCTACAGGGACATTCACAGATAGCACTCACAGCATCTACAGGGACACTCACAGACAGCACTCGCAGCATCTACAGGGACATCTACGGGGACATTCACAGATAGCACTCACAGCAGCTACAGGGACATTCACAGGTAGCACTCACATCAAGTACAGTTACATTCACAGATAGCACTCACAGCAGCTACAGGGACATTCACAGATAGCATTCACTGCATCTACAGGGACATTCACAGATAGCACTCACAACATATACAGGGGCATTCACAGATGGCACTCACAGCAAGTACAGGGCCAATCACAGATAGTATTCACAGCAGTTACAGGGACAGAAGGCTCTCACAGCAGCTACAGGAACATTCACAGATAACATTCACTGCATCTTCAGGGACATTCACAGATAGTATTCACTGCATCAACTGGGACATTCACAGATAGCACTTACAGCAGCTACAGGGACATTTATAGATAGCATTCACTGCATCTATGGGGACATTTACAGACAGCATTCACAGCAGCTACATGGACAATAATAGAAGGCACTCACAGCATCTACAGGGACATTCACAGATAGCACTCACAGCAGCTACAGGGACATTCACAGATAGCACTCACAGTAACTACGGGGACATTCACAGATAGCACTCACAGCAGCTACAGGGACATTTACAGATAGCATTCACTGCATCTACGGGGACATTCACAGATAGCACTCATAGCAGCTACAGGGACATTTACAGATAGAATTCACTGCATCTACGGAGACATTCACAGATAGCACTCACTGCAGCTACAGGGACATTCACAGATAGCATTCACTGCATCTACGGGGACATTCACAGATAGCACTCACAGCAGCTACAGGGACATTCACAGATAGCACTCACAGCAGCTACAGGGACATTTACAGATAGCACTCACAGCAGCTACAGGGACATTTACAGATAGCATTCACTGCATCGACGGGGACATTCACAGATAGCACTCACAGCAGCTACAGGGACATTTACAGATCGCATTCACTGCATCTACATGGACAACAATAGATGGGACTCAAAGCAGCTACAGGGACATTCACAGATAGCACTCACAGCAGCTACAGGGACATTTATAGATCACATTCACTGCATCTACATGGACAACAGTAGATGGCACTCACAGCAAATACAGGGACATTTACAGATCACATTCACTGCATCTACATGGACAACAGTAGATGGCACTCACAGCAAATACAGGGACATTCACAGACAGCACTCACAGCAGCTACAATGACTCACATATTTGAGATAACTCAGACAAGTTTATTTCACATTTTTATTAGGATTTGGTGTTTAAACACTTTCCCCCCGATTGTCTGGATAATAAGTTAACAGTTTGTAAAAGGCACAGATCCCTTTTCACAGAAAGATCAGTATTGTTTGTTTATTACATGTGCCGGCCTGCGTACAGTACGTGTTCAGAGGACAGTGCATGCTATATACAACCCCATGTACTATATACAATGATCCTATTTAATGCAGAGGGCTAGTGTAGGGACTATCTGCTCACTTTGCTCATCTCAGAACCTACACTCTCACTCCTAAAGGTGAGGTTTCCTCAGAGAGTGGATGCTTAGTGACTCACCATGAGGCTCACACTAAAAAGTTTTTTCTTACAAGGAGATTGAGTCTTTACTAACCAAGGACTCTTTCTTTGGAAACCTGTTAATGTGGAAGAAGATAATGCATACTAATGCATGTACAGGCACACAGTCATATAATTACACATGCACACACAATCATAATCACACAGGCACACAGTCATATAATTACATAGGCACACAGAGTCATATAATTACACATGCACACACAGTCATATAATTACACAGGCACACACAGTCATATAATTACATAGGCACACACAGTCATATAATTACACATGCACACACAGTCATATAATTACACAGGCACACAGTCATATAATTACATAGGCACACACAGTCATCTCATCGTATACACACATATGACACATGCATACTGTGACACATACAGGTACAAATCCACTCACATAACACAAGCATATGACACACAAATGTACATGACACGCATGCATATGCACACAAAGGCATTTAATGTCATTCCTATATGCATACACACACTGAAGAACATGCACAGAAATACAGACAAATTCGCAAACCACAAACACATCCCGAAACACATACAGGCGCACACACGATCATATATACACTAACAAAATTAAACATCCAAATACTTGTGTGTGACAATGTAATGGTCAATACACCCCATTACTGTAAAACATTAAAGGGACACTATAGTCACCAGAACAACTACAGCTTATTGAATTTGTTCTGGTGAGTAGAGTCATTACCTTCAGTCTTTTTTGCTGTAAACAGTGTTTGTTTCAGAGAAAATGCAGTGTTTACATTACAGCCTAGTGATACCTCCACTGGCCACTCCTCAGATGGCTGCTAGATGTGCTTCCTGGGGCAATGCTGCACAGTGTGACTGACAGTCAGTGTCTCCACCATCTGCATGCAGACACTGAACTTTCCTCAGAGATGCATTGATTTAATGTATCTGTATGAGGAGATGCTGATTGGCCAGGGCTGTGTTTGGCTTGTGCTGGCTCTGCCACTGATCTGCCTCCTTGACAGTCTCAGCCAATCCTATGGAGAAGCATTGTGATTGGCTCAGACCACCACTTCTGATTATGCCAGCAAACAGAGGCAGTTCACATGCAAACAGGGGCAGAGGCAGCAGCTGAAGACCTGAATACAAGTAAGATTTTAGTATATTTAGGGAGGCAAGGGGGGCCACATGTTGGTTTTAACACTATAGGGGTCAGGAATACATGTTTGTGTTCCTGACCCTATAGTGATCCTTTAATTTATTCCATTAGAAACAAGCCGGTTTTCTTGTAAGATCTCTGCAAGACCTTATAGGCCTTGGTTTAATATTTTTCTAAAGTTTTTCAAATGATCAAACTTTTCAAATAATGCATCTACAATAAATGCCATACATTTTAACAGTGACTTCTTTAGAAAAAACTATTTGAAAAGATTTTCTAACAGACTGTGGTCATTTGAAAAGATTATCCTAATACATTAAATCGAGGCCAAAGAGGTAAGAGTCACCTATCACATTTTCATTGCAGCAATCATTCTGTCTCCGACTACAGAGAACCCCAAATGGATTCAGTAATCCTCATAACTTTAAACTGGTTCCATACAGATGTGTCTGTTTGGTGTCCCAGTGAGTTACGGTCAATAGATAATATATACATACTATATCCTTAATTTATTTTGTTTGAATGGAAATCTAACAATTCTAGTAGAATAAAAATGTGAATATTGATGATCAGTGTCTGATTGGGGGAGGGAGGAGAACAGCGAATGTTTATGGTTAGGATCAGTCTCTGATTGGGGAGGGAGGGGAGCAGCGAATGTTTATGGTTAGGATCAGTCTTTGATTGGGGGAGGGAGGGGAACAGCAAATGTTTATGGTTTAGGATCAGTCTCTGATTGGGGGAAGGAGGGGAACAGTGAATGTTTATGAATGATTTAGGATCAGTCTGTGTTTCGGGGAGGGGGGAGAACAGTGAATGTTTATGATTTAGGATCAGTCTCTGATTGGGGGAGGGGGTAGAACAGTAAATGTTAATTATCAGTCTCTGATTGGGGGAAGGGGGAGAACAGTGAATGTTTAAGGTTCAGATCAGTCTCTGATTGGGGGAGAGAGGGGGACATTTAATGTTTATGAATGATTTGGGATCAGTCTATGTTTGGGGGAGGGAGGATAACAGTGAATGTTTATGGTTAGGATCAGTCTCTGATTGGGGAGGGGGAGAACAGCGAATGTTTATGAAAGATTTGGGATCAGTCTCTGATTGGGGCAGGGGGGAGAACAGTGAATGTTTATGAATGATTTAAGATTAGTCTGTAGTTGAGGGGTGAACAGTGAATGTTTATGGTTTAGGATCAGTCTCTGGTTGGGGAGGGGGGAGAACAGTGAATGTTTATGATCAGTCTGTGTTTAGGAGGGGGGAGAACAGCAAATGTTTATGATTTCGGATCAGTCGCTGATTGGGGGAAGGAGGAGAACAGTGAATGTTTATAGTTCGGATCAGTCTCTGATTGGGGGAGGCGAGAGAAAAGTGAATGTTTATGGTTCGGATCAGTCTCTGATTGGGGGAGGCGAGAGAACAGTGAATGTTTATGAATGATTTAGGATCAGTCTGTGTATGGGGAGAATAGTGAATGTTTATGGTTTAGGATCAGTCTCTGATTGGGGAGGGAGGGGAACAGTGAATGTTTATGAATGATTTAGGATCAGTCTATGTTTGGGGGAGGGAGGATAACAGTGAATGTTTATGGTTTAGGATCAGTCTTTGATTGGGGAGGGGGAGAACAGCAAATGTTTATGAAAGATTTAGGATCAGTCTCTGATTGGGGCGGGGGGGAGAACAGTGAATGTTTATGAATGATTTAGGATCAGTCTATGTTTGGGGGAGGGAGGATAACTGTGAATGTTTATGGTTTAGGATCAGTCTCTGATTGGGGGAGGGAGGATAACAGTGAATGTATATGGTTTAGGATCAGTCTTTGATTGGGGGAGGGAGGATAACAGTGAATGTTTATGAAAGATTTAGGATCAGTCTCTGATTGGGGCGGGAGGGAGAACAGTGAATGTTTATGAATGATTTAAGATTAGTCTGTGTTTGAGGGGTGAACAGTGAATGTTCATGGTTTAGAATCAGTCTCTGGTTGGGGAGGGGGGAGAACAGTGAATGTTTATGATCAGTCTGTGTTTGGGAGGGGGGGAGAACAGCGAATGTTTATGATTTAGGATCAGTCTCTGATTGGGAACGGGGAGAACAGTGAATGTTTATGGTTCGGATCAGTCTCTGATTGGGAGAGGGAGGAGAACAGTGAATGTTTATGGTTTAGGATCAGTCTATGATTGGGGGAGGCAAGAGAAGAGTGAATGTTTATGATTTAGGATCAGTCTCTGATTAGGGGAGAGGGGAGAGCAGTGAATTTTTATGATTTAGGATCAGTCTCTGATTAGCAGAGGGGGAGAACAGCAAATGTTTATGATCAGTCTGTGTTTGGGGAGAACAGCGAATGTTTATGGTTAGGATCAGTCTCTGATTGGGGAAGGGGGAGAACAGTGAATGTTTATGATTTAGGATCAGTCTTTGATTGGGGGAGGGCGGAGAACAGTGAATGTTTATGATCAGTCTGTGTTTGGGAGGGGGGAGAAGAGTGAATGTTTATGATTTAGGATCAGTTGCTGATTGGGGAAAGGGGGAGAACAGTGAATGTTTATGGTTCAGATCAGTCTCTGATTGGGGAGGGAGGGGAACAGCGAATGTTTATGGTTAGGATCAGTCTGTGTTTGGGGGACGGGGAGAACAGTGAATGTTTATGAGTTAGGATCATTCTCTGATTGGCGGAGGGGGTAGAACAGTGAATGTTAATTATCAGTCTCTGATTGGGGGAAGGGGGAGAACAGTGAATGTTTAAGGTTCAGATCAGTCTCTGATTGGGGGAGAGAGGGGGACATTTAATGTTTATGGTTTAGGATCAGTCTCTGATTGGGGGAGTGGAGAGAACAGCAAATGTTTATGATTTAGGATCAGTCTGTGGTTGGGGGAGGGCGGATAACAGCGAATGTTTATCGTTTAGGATCAGTTTGGGGAGAACTGTGAATGGTTATGATTTAGGATCAGTCTGTGTTTTGGGGAGAACAGTGAATATTTATGATCAGTCTGTGTTTGGGGGAGGGGGTAGAACAGTGAATGTTTATGGTTAGGACCAGTCTCTGATTGGTGAGGAAATCAGAGAATGTTTATAGTTTGGATCAGTCGTGGATTGGGGGAGGGGAGCAGAGAATGTTTATGGTTAGGACCAGTCTCTGATTGGTAAGGAAATCAGAGAATGTTTATGGTTTGGATCAATCGTGGATTGGGGGAGTGGAGCAGAGGATGTTTATGGTTAGGACCAGTTTTTGATTGGTGAGGAATTCAGAGAATGTTTATGGTTTGGATCAGTCGTGGATTGGAGCAGAAGATGTTTATGGTTAGGACCAGTTTCTGATTGGTGAGGAAATCAGAGAATGTTTATGGTTTGGATCAGTTGTGGATTGGGGGAGTGGAGCAGAGGATGTTTATGGTTAGGACCAGTTTTTGATTGGTGAGGAATTCAGAGAATGTTTATGGTTTGGATTAGTTGTGGATTGGGGGAGTGGAGCAGAGGATGTTTATGGTTAGGACCAGTTTTTGATTGGTGAGGAATTCAGAGAATGTTTATGGTTTGGATTAGTTGTGGATTGGGGGAGTGGAGCAGAGGATGTTTATGGTTAGGACCAGTTTTTGATTGGTGAGGAATTCAGAGAATGTTTATGGTTTGGATCAGTCGTGGATTGGAGCAGAAGATGTTTATGGTTAGGACCAGTTTCTGATTGGTGAGGAAATCAGAGAATGTTTATGGTTTGGATCAGTCGTGGATTGGAGCAGAGATGTTTATGGTTAGGACCAGTTTCTGATTGGTGAGGAAATCAGAGAATGTTTATGGTTTGGATCAGTTGTGGATTGGGGGAGTGGAGCAGAGGATGTTTATGGTTAGGACCAGTTTTTGATTGGTGAGGAATTCAGAGAATGTTTATGGTTTGGATTAGTTGTGGATTGGGGGAGTGGAGCAGAGGATGTTTATGGTTAGGACCAGTTTTTGATTGGTGAGGAATTCAGAGAATGTTTATGGTTTGGATTAGTTGTGGATTGGGGGAGTGGAGCAGAGGATGTTTATGGTTAGGACAAGTTTTTGATTGGTGAGGAAATCAGAGAATGTTTATGGTTTGGATCAGTCGTGGATTAGGGGAGTGGAGCAGAGGATATTTATGGTTAGGCCCAGTCTCTGGGATTAGAGGGCCATTTTGTAATATCAGACAATTCTTGAATTAGGGATCAGTCTCATGTGACAGCAGTATAATACAATAATCATTAATATAATAATAATTTTGGCTTTTACATTGTCAGTAGTCATGCAGTTGGACACAAACTGGTCACATCTGTGCACTATTGCGATAAAATGTTATCTATGAGGGACGAGAATTCCCCTTCCAGGCATTCCTTATAAATATATATATAATATTTACAGTATATTTATATGGTAATCCTCAGAGTGGAAGCACTCATGCTCAGATTTCTTAGCTGAAATAAAATGTAGCATTCCCCACCCCCCTCTCACATTCAGGGGAGTGAGGACTGGTTCACAGCTTTACCAGGAGTCCACATAGTATTCTCCTACTGAATGCTCACTATATATATATATAAGAGCAGCTGGTCAGGATACCAGGCATGGAAGAGGTGGATTACACCGACCCTATTCTTTACATCAGCAGCATGTTAGCTCGACAAGGGAAGGCCTGAGTGCAGCTACAAGCTCTCCCCTCTACGAGTGAGGTCACACTTACATTGTCCTACAAGGAACCACTCACAGAGTAAGAGCTAAAGGACCACATCAGTGGCTAATCATTCCAGCAAAGCATTAAAAATGAACAAGCAGTACTTATAAAGGTGCTGAGTATCTATAGGCTAATATGCGGTTTCGTAGGATCGTCTTAAAGTTCTAATATAAGGCATGTCAAATAACGGAATCATCCTATTACCCCATTCAGCACTTTTAATGGTATCTGAAAAAAAATAATGTAACAGTCTTTTTAAATGGTGAGACAAAATGAAGAAAACTAAATGGAAACACTGTCATATAAAACATGGAGAATTTTGTATTATCAGTCTCCGAATGCATCTGGTACTTCTTTACTATTATTATTTATATAGCGCCAACAAATTCCATAGCGCAGTACAAAGGGTGGACTAACAGACATGTAATTGTAACCAGGCAAGTGAACGCACATGAACAGTGGAGTTGAGGGCCCTGCTCAATGAGCTTACATACTAGAGCGAGTGGGGTAAAGTGACACAAAGGGGATCACTAGGTAATTTTTGATAGTTGCAGGAGAGGAGTCATGGTGAGGTGACTGGGTGAAAGTCTAACAGAGAGGGGAAGGGAGTTCCATAGGAACGGTGCAGCCCTAGAGAAGTCTTGAAGGCGAGTATCAGAGGTGGGAACAGCGAACAGCGAAGGATAGACGTAGGTCTTCAGCAGAGCGTAGGGGCCTCGACGGGACATACTTGTTTATTAGGGAGGATAACTAGATGGGAGCAAGCACCACAACACAATGTCTTGGAACAACATGCAGCGATCTCTTCTAGACAGGATTGGAACTACATCCAGTGGTCTATTCTAGACTGGAATGAAAGTACACCCAGTGATCTCTTCTAAAAAGGATTGGAACTACATCAAGCAATCTCTTCTAGACAGGGTTGGACCTACACCCAGGGATCTCTTCTAGACAGAACTGGAACTACACCCAGTGAACTCTTCTAGACAAGGATGGACCTACATTGAGTGATCTCTTCTCGACAGGATTGGAGCTACATCCAACGTTCTCTTCTAGACAGGATTGGAACTACATCAAGCAATCTCTTCCAGACACGGTTGGACCTACATCCAGGGATCTCTTCTAGACAGGATTGGAACTACATCCAGCGATTTCTTCTAGACAGGATTGCAAGCACATTCAGCCATCACTTAAGGTGGAATTCCATGCAGTGATCTCTTTCTGGAAGTTTATGCATTGATGTCTTTTAGGCAGCTCTGGAATTACATGCAGTAATGCCTTCTAGACAACTCTGCAATGTTATGCCATGACACCACACAGACAACCCTATACGCTAATGCAATACAGTGATCCCTATCCCAATCAGTCAGACTGTGGCATTTTTAATACATTTGAATCAGCATCAGAAATATTCCCAATGTGTTACAAAAAACTTTAAAATTGATTCATCTATGGAAATCCCCATTAAATCCTATGGTAGACAAATTGTGTAAAAGTTTTTGTCTAACAGAATGGAATAATTTCTGGTGCTGATTCATAACCGATGTATGAGATGAGTCTATCACTGGGAAAACTGCCACAACTTCTGTCTCCCTATAATCAGTTTCTTGTAGCTTGGCACTCAGTACAGCAGTGGTTTCCAAACCAGTCCTCAAGGCACGTCGTCCAGTCCAGGATTTAGGGACTCTTTCTAAAAACACCTTGACACAGCTGGCTAATCCATAAATCCTGGACTGGTAGGCATGCCTTGAGGACTGGTTTGGAAACGACTGCAGTAGATTTGTCTTGATGTCTCGTTTGACTTTTGTTTTCTTCTTTTCGCGTTATTTTGTTGAAGCAATTTTTGGTCACTATTTATGGCTATTCAGTCCCACACTAAAAGAATACGGGTATCCCAACCGGCCTGTAATCTGACACTCTCTGCAATATGAACTGCATTCAGAAAACCAAAAGGCAACATTGTGCTACTACACATAATTGTAATATACCACAAGAACCACACAATCCTGCGCAATTACTCTACAAGTACTAAGTGCACAGAAAAATGGGCAATCACCATGGAAATTAACAGTAAGAGCAGGAACATTCTCTTAGTTGCAATGTCGACTGATCTCTTTTCACAGTTTTATTGTACTTTTATGTTTGAAACACAATGTTATCTCTATCTTCTATTGTTTCTAAAATTTCAGGAAGGACACAATCTGCAAATGGATTTTGAAAAAAAAGAAAAAAAAGGACTTCTTATTCTGCAAATTTACATCATGGCCGCTCATAGCAAACGCAGAATAAAAGCATAGATAAGAAAGATTGGCAAAAATGTCCACCTTAATTTGCAATAAAAATAATAATAAATTAATACATTGAAAATGTAGCAAAGAGCTAAATAATTTGCTGATGTTTTAAAACAAACAAACATTTTATTAAATTCATGCCCAGAATGTGATTTACTTAAATTATTGAGAGAAGAGGTCAAATATATTATATGGAGTAATAGGGGGAGTTACAGGGAGGGTTATATGGGGTAACAGGAGGGGTTAGAGGGAGGGTTATATGGGGTAACAGGAGGGGTTAGAGGGAGGGTTATATGGAGTAATAGGAGGAGTTATAGGGAGGGTTATATGGAGTAATAGGAGGAGTTATAGGGAAGGTTATATGGAGTAATAGGAGGGGTTATAGGGAGAGGTTATATGGAGTAATAGGATAAGTTATATAGAGTAATAGGAGGAGTTATAGGGAGTAATAGGAGGAGTTATAGGGAGGGTTATATGGAGTAATAGGAGGAGTTATAGGGAAGGTTATATGGAGTAATAGGAGGTGTTATAGGGAGGGTTATATGGAGTAATAGGGGGAGTTACAGGGAGGGTTATATGGGGTAACAGGAGGGGTTAGAGGGAGGGTTATATGGGGTAACAGGAGGGGTTAGAGGGAGGGTTATATGGAGTAATAGGAGGAGTTATAGGGAGGGTTATATGGAGTAATAGGAGGAGTTAAAGGGAGAGGTTATATGGAGTAATAGGATAAGTTATATAGAGTAATAGGAGGAGTTATAGGGAGTAATAGGAGGAGTTATAGGGAGGGTTATATGGAGTAATAGGAGGAGTTATAGGGAAGGTTATATGGAGTAATAGGAGGTGTTATAGGGAGGGTTATATGGAGTAATAGGGAGAGTTATAGGGAGGTTATATGGAGTAATAGGAGGGTTATAGGGAGGGTTATATGGAGTAATAGGGAGAGTTATAGGGAGGGTTATATGGAGTAATAGGAGGAGTTATAGGGAGGGTTATATGGAGTAATAGGAGAGTTATAGGGAGGGTTATATGGAGTAATAGGAGGAGTTATAGGGAGGGTTATATGGAGTAAGGGAGGGTTATATGGAGTAATAGGAGGGGTTATAGGGAGGGTTATATGGAGTAATAGGAGGAGGTTATAGGGAGGGTTATATGGAGTAATAGGAGGGGTTATAGGGAGGTTATATGGAGTAATAGGAGGGGTTATAGGGAGGGTTATATGGAGTAACAGGAGGGGTTATAGGGAGGGTTATATGGAGTAACAGGAGGGGTTATAGGGAGTGGAGTAATAGGAGGTTATAGGGAGGGTTATATGGGAGAGTTATATGGAGTAATAGGGGGGTTATAGGGAGGTTATATGGAGTAATAGGAGGAGTTATAGGGAGGGTTATATGGAGTAATAGGAGGTGTTATAGGGAGGGTTATATGGAGTAATAGGAGGGGTTATAGGGAGGGTTATAGGGAGTAATAGGATGAGTTATAGGGAGAGTTATATGGAGTAATAGGAGGGGTTATAGGGAGGTTATATGGAGTAATAGGGGGAGTTATAGGGAGGGTTATATGGAGTAATAGGAGGAGTTATAGGGAGAGTTATATGGAGTAATAGGAGGGGTTATAGGGAGGTTATATGGAGTAATAGGAGGAGTTATAGGGAGGGTTATATGGAGTAATAGGAGGGGTTATAGGGAGGTTATATGGAGTAATAGGAGGTGTTATAGGGAGGGTTATATGGAGTACTAGGAGTCTCTACATTTACCTGTCACATCACTCTGATTGGTTACTTAATCCACCAATCAGAGTGTTTGATGTCATTTTACACAGCGTGGGAAAGTTCTTTGGAATTTTCCCATGCTGTGTAAAATGACACAGAGCACTCTGGTTGGTGGATTAAGTAACCAATCAGAGTGTTATGAGTCAAATTACTCAGTGTGAGAAAATATTTTTATTTGGCCTTTTTTGGGGCTGGAAAAATAGGATTTTAGAAGAAAGATGGTAAGTCTATTTCTGGGGGAGTTTAAATTTTTATTTATGGCCCCCATCCATCACTCAGGGGTGGGGGCCAGGGGGGAGAGGACATTAGGTCCCCTCCAACTTTTATTTATGGCCCCCTCCCACCGCTCAGGAGTGGGAGGACGGTAGGTCCCCCCCCACCAATTTTTATTTATGACCCCCACCCACAAATGGTAAGTCTATTTTTGGGGGAGGTTACATTTTTATTTAGGGCCCCCACCTGCCACTCAGGGGTGGGGGCCGGGGGGGAGGACAGTAGGTCTCCCCTTATTGTTTTTTAGGGCCCCCACCCACCATACAGGGGTGGGGGCCAGGGGGGAGGACATTAGGTCCCCCCAATTTTTATTTATGGCCCCCACCCACCGCTCAGGGTCAGGGGCCGGAGGAGAACAGTAGGTCCCCCTTATTGTTATTTAGGGCCCCCACACACCGCGCAGGGGTGGGGGGCAGGGGGGAGGACAATAGGTCCCCCGCCAATTTTTATTTATGGCCCCCACCCACCGCTCAGGGTCAGGGGCCGGGGGAGGACAGTAGGTCCCCCTTATTGTTATTTAGGGCCCCCACTCACCGCGCATGGGTGGGGGACAGGGAGGAGGACAATAGATCCCCCCTTATTGATATTTAGGGCCCCCACCCGTCGCTCAGGGGTGGGGGTCGGGGGAGGTCAATCGGTCCCCCCTTTAGTTTAAAAGCCCAACTCACTCTTTGCGGGTGGGGGCTCAGGAGGGGGCTCACTATTATTTTTTTAATAGTGAGCAGGCTGCTCACTGTTTACTAAGTAACCAGCTTATATAGAGGCTGGGTCACATGCTGCACTGGCCAATCACAGCCATGCCATTAGTAGGCATAGCTTTGATGGCTTCTATGTGCAAACGAGTCAAACGCTTGTTGATTGGCTGCCCTGCAGCCTTTCAAAACGCGCCATTAAATTGCCGAACACCGAACTCCAACCCGAACATACAGTGATATGTCCGTGTTCGGGTCCAGGGTTCAAGAAACGTAATGGTCGGTACGAACTCAACTCTAATGAGAAGCATTATGTAC